TGTGGTCTGGGTATTCGTCTTGCTGGGTCTCGGGAATATTTTCTTTCTCGTCTTGATTATTTTTTCTTCATTCTTCCGCTCAATTTTCACGACACTTTTTCGAACAAAATATTTCATCCCTCCCTGTAAAAGAATAAGTAGTATATTTTCCTTCCTCATTAGCGGAGAGTTTTTCCTTACAATAATGACAATTTGGCAAACTTTCAGGGTCAAGGCCGTTCATCTTTTTTTCGAGTTTGTGGCGACACTGGGCAGAGCAAAAAATCTTTCCTTTGATTTTTCCTCATCCCTTTTCTTTCCAACTTTTTTCACCTTTTTCTATTTTCCCAACTTTCCCACAATCATCGCAAATATTAAGGCAATTATAACAAGGCTCCGAGCAAAAATGATAATATTCGTGTTCTCCTTTACCTTTTTTTATGTTCTTTATATTTTTCTCGGTCAAAATCATATTCTTTTTCGCAATAAGAACATTTCTCCATTCGGGGCTGACCTCCATCCGGACCCGATGGGTTATCCTTATCAGTTAAAAGATCATAGGCTTCCTTTATTCGCTGTCAATTTCTTTCTACTTTTTCGTAAGTTTCTTTGCACTTTTCCGAGCAGAAGTATTTTCCTCCACTATTGCCGGGAGAGCCACATTTTTGATTTCGACAATTCTTCCCTTGGGTAGTGTTCAACTTTCATCTATCAGGATGCCACGCACGAGATTTTTTCTTGTAGGCCTTTTCTATGTCTTCTCGATTAGCACCCGACGCCACTTCTAAAACTTTGATAGCATCCCAATAATTATTTATTAGCCTTGTCATAATTAAAAATATTAACTTTTCCGACTGAGCCGAAAATTAGCGGTTTTTGTTCGGTTCAACTATACTTACTGTTTTTTTTTTTTTTTTTGCTAGTTCTGTCATATTGCTTATTAATTTAATATATAAACATTTTATTAATTATTATTTATTCCCTTTCAAAAGTTCTCTTAAACTACCAGCTCCAAAACTAACCTTACCCATTTCTTTCATTCTTGCTTTACCTTTTTTTTGTTTGGCTCATAGTTTCATTTTACGGGTTCT